GGTCTCAGTGAAGCAAGCCAGGTCGGCCATCTCGTCCACTAATAGATCATGGATGATATGAGTCTTATTTTTGACCGACCTGGCGTTGCAAAGGAGCAGGTTGAGAGTCAGTGGAATGGTGAGTTTGCTCTCCAACCTATCATGGGCAACAGAATCAACTGAAGAAGGGATAGATAAGAGACATCGATCCCTTCTTCTTTTGTAACATTTGTTGAGACTATATCCGCTACACATGTTCTATAATGTGTAGAAAATTATTTTAAAGCACTGTTACAAATATTTTTATTTTATTATTTTATTTATCCACTGTGTGGAGATAATAAATACACTATATGAATAGGAATTTGGTAAGCATGAAGAAAGTAGTCATCCCAGGGGTGTCTCTGGCTCCAGCTCTGGCAGCACAGTTAATGGTCAGGGATGATGAGCCTGGAGAATTACAAGTTCCTCAGTCCTGAATCATTCCATGCACCCACTGAAAGTATGGTTAAAGCAACATTTTCTCCATATTTGTGGCTCTGATAGCAGTTTTTGCTTACATAAATGTGAACACTAGAAATAATGTTTTTTAAAAAAATTTAGCCCTGGTCTTTTACCTGGCCTAGACAAGGATAATTTTTCTAAGGACTTTATCACACAACTCCTGTTCTCACTGCAATCACACAGATCAATGAAAATACAAACTTGCTAGTCTCATAAGCAGCTATCATCAGATATCTTTGAAATGGCACAACTGTGGCTGCTTCTGCCATCATGCTTTCTACCTGAATCCCCTTGACTCTGCCTTTCTGTCCTATCCCTACTCAGCATGCCTTTTGTTTTATTTTATTTTTTACTTTTTTAATCTCAATTCTGTAGTTCAGGTATTATGATTTAAGTTTTTTAAAAAGGAAAGAATAGAAATACAAAAAAAAAAAGCAAATCAGGCTGCTTTGGAATAACAAGGGGGATGGGATGTCAGTGAATGGTGGATGATGTGTGTTGCAGTTACCAAACAGCAGAGTTGTTGGGAAAAGCTGACAATCTTTTCCTGCTTGATTCCAGACTTCTTCCTTTGGATTCAGATGATACTGCCTCAGCTCTCCAGCCTTACCATCAGTCAAGAAACACACCAGTTGCAGTCTAAGAACACTACCTTTATTCTACAACTAGGAATATTTACATAAGTTGAATATTTACATGTACAGATCCTGCAACACATTAACCCTGTGAAACACGTTTGAACCTTCCAAGCCTCCCTCCCTCTCTCTCTCTCTCTCTCTCACTCCCACATGGACAAAGCATTACAGTGGAACCTCTACTTACGAATGCTTCATCCTACGAAATTT